TAAATTATATTAAGGGTATAATTACCATAATAATATGCACCTGTCATCATAGAAAATGTTTTCTAAAAATCAGATACTACCGATTTGAGAATTATAACTCAGAGTTTGTGGTTTGCATTTTGTTGTTGTGGGTTTTATCTTCTCTATCTTCTGCATGGTCATATAAAACGTGTCAAAGGATTCTCCCGTGTCCAACTCAGTGCCACACACGCACTGCAGGTCACTCTGTGCAAGATGAGCACAAGACCTTCAACTAGCCAACCAGAGTAGACACCCAGCTGAGCTGAGGAGGCCTGTCCATCTCTTTCCTGTACAACATCCAAAAGTACATCAGGACAATAAGTCCATCAAGCTGTGCAGAACTGTCCATCTAGAGATGAGCTAAAGGCAGAAAGCCTGGCCTGTCTGTGCAAACTGGCCCTAAAATGTAGCTGCATTTTTTTTTTTTTACCTACTTCTGCATATGTGACAAGCGCATGTGCACTGTCCTTCTGCAAATGCAAAATGTTCTGATAATGATACTATGAAATTATTAAAATCACAACAATGACCTCTTTAACACTTATCGGTTAGTTTTCTTATATAAACATCTTTGTAATAAACTGTAATTCCAGGATCATGAGTCCATGCAGTCTATTCAGACGGCTGCCTGTCTAATCTAAATCCTTTTTTGTGTTATATTTGTGCCAATATTTAGGAAATTAAATATTTCTGCATTTGATTTCACCTCCACATATTTGACAGCAGTACTACTGTTCATTTCTTTCTTGTATTTGCTCAGATTATAAACAGCATATTCTGCAGGAGATAGATTTAATAATGCCTGGTTTTAAAACTAAAGATATTCATAAAAAAAAATAACAAACTTGTTTAATTTTCAGTCGTTATCTCTTTACATGTACCTTCTCTGCCATCCTGCCACTCTCACGACGTGGCACATTCTGTTGTAGCTGTGATAATACTCCAAGGTCATAATCTTCATATAAAAAAAAGCTTGATTAACAATTTTAAGGACTGAATATGAAATGGAAAAACTGCATATTCCATTATATTGGTCATGCAATAACTGTAGAAAGGCAACACTAAATATATGCTGTTTATTTGGACAGTGGCCACTCCCTAACAATCCTATGACCTGACTGTTGAACTGAGGGAGTACAGTGATACCTTGAGGTCGATCGATAGCAGCTTGCCCAGATGATCCTGTGGGAGAATGCTGAAGATTTCCTGAGCCAGCGTTAAAGTGAAAAGAACAGGAGACAAGACTCAGAAGAGCAAAGCAGCACTTTCAGAAGCATTTTGCAGCACGCTCAGGACGTCATCGTACACGCACACAGACACATGCACAGAGGGGTGAAGGGGGAACTTTTAGAAATTTACAATTAGTAAATATGTTATAGAAACATGTGGATAATTTAAGCCAAATGTTTGCAGAGATCCTGAAGAGACCAGTTTGACTACACTCCTCAAAAAGAGCCTCCACTAATTACAAGCCTTGGGTGACACCTAGTGATTTCAGCGAGCATTGGCATGTGGAAACAAACCAAATGAAGTAATGGTATTACGGTTTTTCTCTATTGCTAACAAGCATCGTTCAAAACTGAAGTCACATCAACACTCTTCAGAGTTATCAAAACAGAAGTCTATGTGGACCAAACTGTGAATCATATCAAACTGATTTTATTTGGCAACCTGGATCATGGAAGACAGGTTGGTGGGGGACATTCCAGAAGATACTTTCCAAGATGCATCTCCAGAGAAGACATAAGATGTGAAGCTGATGAAAAGTTGGAACCAAATGCAAGGGAGGACAAGAACCCTCAATGTACAAGTGATTATACTGTACTTTTTTTATTCTTACTGCAGCCCTGGAATTTGAGGATTTTTCCCAACTTTTTATTTTCACAAGTAAATTACTATATGCAAAGACAGATAAAATAAAGCAAGTTGAATTTCTGATTCATTCTTGTGACATATACTTTAGTACAGTCAATAAAATGTTTTAATGAATAACAGGTTTATGTGAAAAATAATCCATCAATCCATCCATTACCTATCCTGCTTATTCTAACGAGGGTTGCTGGGGGGCTGGAGCTAATCCCAGCTGACACTGGGTGAGAGGAGGGTACACCCTGGACAGGTTGGCGGTCTACTACAGGGCTGACACTTAAGAGACAAACCACCACACACACATTTCTAGGGGTAATTTAAAGTCACCAATCAGCCTAAGCTAAGTCTTTGGACTGTGGGAGGAAGCTGGAGAACCCAGAGAGAACCCATGCAGGCACAGGGAGAACATGCAAACTCTGCACAGAAAGGCCCCCCAAGTCAGTCAGGGCTCAAACCCGGAACCTTCTTGCTGTCAGATGACAGCACTAACCACAGTACCACCATGCCAACCATGTGAAAAATCATTCAAAGATAAAAGTTTATCATTCATCTGTTGTTACTAGGGATGGGCATTTCTAGCTAAAATGCTATTTGATATTCACTGGGAACTATTCAGCAATTATTCGATGATGACGGATCATCTGTGAACAGCTCCCCCGCTGTGTGTTTTTTAACGTTGTCGTTGAGACAATTCTTCTAATGTGCTATTAGCAAGCTAGTAAGGCTGCTGCAGCTAAGCTAGCATAAGAACACAGCTGTTGCAGAGGTCAGCATGCTGTATATAGCACAGAGGTACATGGACTGCTCTACAAACGGATAAAGTTGATGCTAGTTCATAAACTCCAACGCTGGGAAAGCTGATCAGTCCGTCCAGTGTGATTAGCGATCCAGCTCATTCATTTTGAGTATTAACTGGCTTCAACCAGCGCTGCTGCAGCAGCAAGACAGAGCCAGGAAGAGAGAGATGTAAGAGAGCAACATGCTGCTGCTGTGAGACAGCCAGCTAGTACAGGGGGGACAAGTCATATGAACAGCACAACGGTAGCCTACTATAATATCACTATGTTTAATATAAAAATAAATGATTACCTGGAGGTCCCACTGGTCCAGGTCCTGGTCCAGGTCCAGGCATTGGACCAGGGACAACACCCATGTTGGGGGGCTGCATCATCTGCGGAGCTCCATTGACATGCATTCCAGGCTGATCATATTCCAAAATATAAACAAGAAAACAAATAAATTGACCTAAACTTTTTTTTTTTAAAACAAAATTCTGTTCACATTTCTGAGCCAAAGTAAAAAAAAAGCATCATATTCTATGTCATCTTATATGATGATATAGGATTGGCTGGGCTTTTGAACTAAAGCTGTAAAATATGATTGTTTGTTGATACCAAGAGTTAAATGGGCCTATTAATAGGAAAATGTGTTGCAATTATAAATGGGAATGACTATGCATGATGAGATAAAACTAAATGCAACTTTTTTTGCCAGTGTTCACAATATAAAAGTGTGTGACGGAATGGTCACATTACACTTCTGTCCACTGAATATTCGAACCATCTCCTTATCGCTTCAATCGAATTTGACATCATACTGTGTAAATTACCACAAACAGTAGCATCACTCTCAAAACACTGTTTATAGTTTTTGATGGCTCTGATCGATATTCACCTGGATCAGAGCTGTGACATATTCCTTTTCAATGCAACACACAGGACGTGTGAAGTAACCGTTAAGACAGAGTGAAAGACTCCTCTACTTACCACAGGCTGCGGCTGAGACACAGGCACACTGGACTGTGCAGGAGGTGGATTGACCGGTGGTGCTCCTCCACCCTGCCCACTGGGAATCAGAGGCTGGACCGTCATTTGACGATGGAGCATTTTCTGTAAATGAAGTGTATGGAAAAGCATCTCAAAAATTTGATTGCAATCACAAGTGCAGACTAACTTTCATATCTACAGATACCAAATTGAAGAACACTGCCAGGATGAACTGATTTTTTTTTTTGACTGTGCAAAAGTAAGATCAAGTATTTGACAAATCTTTTCATTCTCAGTGCAGCTTCTCTCACCAAGGCTATCTCAGGGTCAACAATCCGCATGACCACTTGGGCCTGGAGCAGAGCATAGGCCAGCTGAGGGTTCTGCAGCAGCATGTTCCTCGCCTCCTGGGGACTGTTTTGCACACACAACTGGAGAAAGAAATACCATTTTCACCAAACAATCTTGAAATATTATATTATAGACCACACGAAAAATCACAATTAAGCAGAAAAACAAAAACAGCAAAACAAACAAACGCGGGACCTATCCCTCATAGATTTAAAAAAGACTGCAACTTTACTTCCTGGCAGGTTGGACATACACCAATCAGCCACAACATTAAAACCACTGGCAGGTGACAATAAGGATTATCTTGTTAAAATGGCACCTGTCAAGAGGTGGGATATAATATGCAGCAAGTGGATAATGGCACCTGTCAAGGGGTGGGATATAATATGCAGCAAGTGGAAAGTCAGTTCTTGAAGTTGATGCGTTGGAAGCATGAAAAACGACCAAGCGTAAGGATCTGAGCAACTGACTAGGGCCAAAACATGATGACTAGACAACTGGGTCAGAGCATCTCCAAAAATGGTAGGTCTTGTGGGGTGTTCCCCGTCTGCAGTGGTTAGTACTTGCCAAAAGTTGTCCACGGAAGGGATACGTGGTGAACTGGCATCAGGGTCATGGTGCCCAAGACTCTTTGGTGCATGTGGACAACGAAGCCTACCCCATCTGGTCCAGTTCTACAGAAGTGGTACTGTAGCACAAGCTGCTGAAAACCTTAATGCTGGTTATGACATGCATCATAGATTGCTGTCTATGGGGCTGCACTGCTGCAGACGGGTCAGGGTGCCCATAAAACAAGCTAGCAGAGGTAGTCTCATGCTCTGGCCAATGTTCTGCTGGAAAAACATGGGTCCTGGCATTTATGTGGATGTTACTTGGACACATACCACCTACTTAAATATTGCTGCAGGCCAAGTACACCCCTTCATTACAACAGTACTCTGACGGCAGTGGCCTCTTTCACCAGGATATTGTCCCCTGTCACACTGCAAACAGGTGTTCAGGAATGGTCTGAGGAACATGACAAAGAGTTTAAGGTGTTGCCATGGCCTCCAAATTCCCCAGATCTCAATCAAACAAGCATCTGAGGGGAGCCTAAACAATATTAGGCAGGTGTTTTTAAAGTTGTGGCTGACATACATGTCCATAAGCAACCAAAGTGGCTGCATCAACACTACACTATTGATGGTATCAAGATTGGAGCCCAAACACTCACACTCTGATATACATAGGGAACCGTCCTACTGACACAAGCTTTGGTGCAATGAAACACTTTTCCAGTCGGGGGGCAAAACGTCTGCAGTGTGTTGTTTCTTCAAGCTTAATGAAGCAGACTGCCAGCTGTGCAAAGATAAGGCTTCTCTGGCAGAGCTCTGAAGGACAGACTGTACAGCACAGACTCTGTTAATGAAAGGGAAGGAAGAGCATCTGCATACAGTTGCCATCCTGGAGTGATTCAAATTGAGAAAGACATTTGTCACCCTCTTGTTATTTTGAGATCAGAAAAGTAGGTACAGTCTGAACTACAGTATAACACTAATTAGATTCCTCGTTAGATATCATTGTTACTTCTATGAGCTCATTTTAATACATTATGATATTTAAAAATGTCTACACATTCAGTATGTGCAATTACATTTTGGTACCCCATTTTATTCTGACTGTTTTAACAGCAGTAAGAGAATCCTGGTGTTATCAAAATACTGAAATGCTGCAATTAGTGAAAACAAGACACTACATCTTCTGCCATATGTTGGTAAGCCTGTACTGTTTTAAACATTTGTGTATTCATTCATCAGAATAATATAAAAATGCAAATGATTCACCAGTTCCAATGATCAATACATAATGCCAAGGACTAGGCATCATTACTGCCTAATAATCAGTACCCAGGATGGTTCTGAGTTTTCTAAGGGTACCTCTTACCAACACCGCTTTATTTAGTAAGTTAAAGAGTTGAAAGAAAGCTGGAAAATAATTTAAAGTTTCCTCTGTCTGTCAATATGGGGTGCTGTGTGTACATTAATGAGGAAAAAAAATGAACTTAAATGATTTTAGCATATGGCTGCAATGTAACAAAGAGTGAAAATTTTAAGGGGGTCTGAATACTTTCCATACCCACTGTATAAGGAAAGGGAAATAGCTAAATTAGTCTAAATCCTGTATCATATTTGAAAAAGTCCCATGCAAGGAGCAGCTGCAACAGTGGTTAGTAAAAGTCCGAGGCAGTAAACAAGCCGACCTTCATCTGTTTCATAAGTTCAAACATCTGCTCTGGTGGCAGGCTGGCCACAGCTCTGCTGATGGACTCTGGGGCTTCCTCTGGCTGAACATTATCTCCATAGGGAGACTCAATAATGGGGGCTCCTGTTCCCAAACCTGTACATGACAAATGACAGGAAACTGTAGCTTTTCCCAAATAAAATCAAAAACAGCACATTTGTCTGAAATAATATCAAGGGGAAAAAAATGCTTACTTTTAAGTTCTTCCTTGTTTTTCTCACTGGCTGCATTGTCAACACGAAGAGCCCGACCACTGAACTCTCTCCCATTTAGGTTTCGCATTGCACTAAGAGCCGTCTCCTGGTCTTGATATTCACAGAAGCCATATCCCTTTGGCTTTCCTGTTTCCCTGTCATATACTAGCCTGGGCACAAGAGGACGCACATAACCATGACAAACACCACATGCTGAAGGCTGACCAAGATGAGAACGGCCATTAAATACACTCTTCTTTAACAATAAACCTCACAATCAAAGGAGAGCAGAAGCTTGTCACTGTTTATTTGACCTAGGAAAGTCTAACTTTAAAACAGCACAGATATCCATAACTGGAATCTTATTAACCACAAAAGGCAATTACAAATTAAAGGAAATTTCAAAGCTCCCAGGCTTTTATTGGGGCTGTCTCGAATTGCAATTTTTGGGCTCCGGATATTCAGCGGTGGTAATCAGCGAATATTGGAATATATAAAACTCTGGACCTACTGTAGGCTAATGCCTGTTGTTTCTCTCCAGCGCTGCCTTGCCCTGTTTTTAGGTGCCTTTGATTTGCTTATTTGTGCTGTGTAAAACGTAACGTTCTGATGACGCTACTTTTATAATCCTTGTGTGTATCAGTTCTAATGCTTTGTTGCCTTTATGTAACTTTTTATTTTAAGACTAAGTGTTCTTTGTTACTACACGCATGCGCCGTGCAGAGTGGCAGCAAGTTACAGCAGCTGTGTCCTCCTGTTCTTTTCCGTGTTTTTAATGAAGTTCAGTTCTTATGGTGGTGTCTGTTCTTATGGTGTTATGTTGGTTGTGTTCTATTGCTGCTGTAACACAGAAATTTCCCCACTGTGGGATGAATAAAGTACCTACCTACCTACCACAATATCAATGGGCTAAGATTTTGCTGCAACTAAAAGTACGTTTTTGCCCACCTGTCTGTAAATTGGGTTAAAAAAACAAAATTTAATGAACTAAATACACTCTTCTTTAACAATAAACCTCACAATCAAAGGAGAGCAGAAGCTTGTCACTGTTTATTTGACCTAGGAAAGTCTAACTTTAAAACAGCACAGATATCCATAACTGGAATCTTATTAACCACAAAAGGCAATTACAAATTAAAGGAAATTTCAAAGCTCCCAGGCTTTTATTGGGGCTGTCTCGAATTGCAATTTTTGGGCTCCGGATATTCAGCGGTGGTAATCAGCGAATATTGGAATATATAAAACTCTGGACCTACTGTAGGCTAATGCCTGTTGTTTCTCTCCAGCGCTGCCTTGCCCTGTTTTTAGGTGCCTTTGATTTGCTTATTTGTGCTGTGTAAAACGTAACGTTCTGATGACGCTACTTTTATAATCCTTGTGTGTATCAGTTCTAATGCTTTGTTGCCTTTATGTAACTTTTTATTTTAAGACTAAGTGTTCTTTGTTACTACACGCATGCGCCGTGCAGAGTGGCAGCAAGTTACAGCAGCTGTGTCCTCCTGTTCTTTTCCGTGTTTTTAATGAAGTTCAGTTCTTATGGTGGTGTCTGTTCTTATGGTGTTATGTTGGTTGTGTTCTATTGCTGCTGTAACACAGAAATTTCCCCACTGTGGGATGAATAAAGTACCTACCTACCTATCATAATATCAATGGGCTAAGATTGTGCTGCAGCTAAAAGTACGTTTTTGCCCACCTGTCAGTAAATTGGGTTAAAAAAAAACAACAAAATTTAATGAAAATTTTTATTTTAATATAACAGATGAGCAGACAACGGATCTCCATAACCATTTGCGTGTACACAGAATGTGCTACATTTCCACCAGGTAGTTCTACCTGTGAAGACGTCTCACTCTGTTGGAACGACAAAGAGGCACTCAGTTCACTCTAGTTATTCAATGGTGTTACAGAGTGAATCCTCTTTACCTCATAAACGATCTTCGGCTAGCAGCAGACAGCGTGTTGTCTGTTTGTACACCGGCTGCAGCGAGGTCACAAAACCGACAACAACGAGTTTAAGTTTTTTTCCTGTCATCACTTTAAGTAAGCGCTAGTTAACCACAGCTGGTATGACCCCGCTGGCTGTCATTTTAACCAGAAACAGCTACGATCAGCAGAAGCATCTACCTGAACGATTTATACACACGGAGCTTTGCTAACAAAATTGTAGGTGTTACTGGTATAGGCAATATATAGACAAAAAATGACAACTCCACCTACAATTAGGAGATCACGATACAAAAGCACCCCTATCAACTTGCGTGTATAGAGAAGCACAATGCAGCACATGTAATACACACTGTTTAAACACTTATGCAATTTTTTTTTTTAATGAGAGCCTGAGTTTGATGGGGAGGGGTCACTTTTACACATTAAGTAACAGTAGTAGTTAACGTTAGCAATCTCTCTTACTCACCTGAAACTGACAACAAGTCCGACTTCAGAAAATATGTCTTTCAGCTGTTCTTCTGTAGCTTCATATGGAATGTTCCCCACTAAAACAATTAAAAAAAATTAACAAAGTTTTAGTATAACAAAATAGTTATATTGCTTTTTTTCGCTTAAAGATTTGATTGTTCGTTTTCAGGCAGCGCTAAATGTTGTTCCCTCGTAGGCCTAACGTTAGCTAACAGAATCAACTCAGCTAGTTACCGTTCGGCACGCTATCAAAGCTAGCAAGCCCTAGCTAATTGATTATCCGTTTCTTTGTCGGTTTATTCTATACTCAGCGGATAAACATATCCGTACCGGAGAAAAAAAAGTCCAAGAACTTACCAAATACTGATCGTAATGAACGGTCAACAGCTGGGTCCCTACTCGCGGCAACAGCCGCAACAGCACCTACGTTCGCCATTTTGAGGACAGAAATGAATGGTACACCAGGAAGTGACAATGGGACAAATATCCGTTTATGCCAAAGGGCAACATCTAAATATTGAAGGTGTGACCTTTTCTAAGCGCCTCACAATCGACAATGTCTGCTAACTATTTTCCCTTATTTATTAATTAGCCAGCAGATGACAATAATTGTTTGAAACGGGCTGTGCAGAAGAACAGGGTAAAAGTGGTCAGAGAAAACGTGTACGAAAAATAGGTGGCGCTGTTGTCCGCGGTTAAGCCGCTTGTTTGCACTGAGAGAGACACAAATATGAATTGGTACAACTGGTAATTCCCGGTAATTCCTCGTTGTAAAGTGAAATAGGTAAATAAACGCGCCCGATACTCCAGGGTATACATATTTTCAACAACACCAAATTTATATAGTAAGTTTTGGAGAAATTATATTTGAATTGGTTATTATCTTACGTTAATGTTTTAACTCAGAATGCACGTTAAGGACGTCAGGGGCCAGTTATTTGTCAGTTAACACATGTAAAGTCTAAAAACACTTGGATACACCTGAATAATCACACGCCTGCTCAACCACTATGGGTAATTACAATGCTTTACTTAACTGATTGGTAAGTTACATTTTGTGGATATTTGAAATAAATACAACCCCTGCAGTAAACATACATTATACAGCTTTAACTTTTAATTTTGGCACGTGTTCAAAGGTTTGGTAACCCTACTAAGTCAGTACTTAGTAAGTAGAATACAATATTTCCACCCCCTCCCCATGCTTAAATTTATGAGAAGTAACAATGCATTAACTTTTCAAGAAAGGTTCATTTTAAAATGTTTCAGTTCACTGTAATTAACTGTGGTTTATGAACAGGTGGATACAACTGCTTAGCCTACTTCAGTAACGTTTGTTAATGGTTGAGACTACCACAAGAATTTGTCGTTACAGCAATGAGCTGGATATGCAGGCTATAACCTAATATAAATGTGTGGCTGTGTGCCATTTTTACTAGTTAATTACACAGTAAGTATAAAGTTGTTTACACAATTTTCCCAAAACTTTAACATATTACCTAGGACTTTACCTTACATTCACAAAAATACCTGGATTTTTATTATGTCCCCTTTTCTCTAAAAGGCCTAATTGTTTGGCTACTCCCTTGTTCAACCTAATCATCAGTAGGGCCCAGCTCCGAATGCACGGCCCCTCTCCTAATCATATTGTCTTCCTCTGTAGCAGTAGGAGCGGGACATTATTGATGTTACCATATTCGTACAAATAAATTACCTTTTAAAGGTGGGTTTGTAACATACGATGTTACCACTGACCTTATCATTTGACGATCAGTAAGGAGTTTTGTTTACTACTACACAAATTGGCAAGACAAAATTTCGTGGTTCCACTGGGGCTCGAACCCAGGACCTTCTGCGTGTAAAGCAGACGTGATAACCGCTACACTATGGAACCAGCGATTCATAACTACCGAAGAAGTATTAACAAAGCTACCCATGTTAGGTGCAGATAAGTGATTATGTCGCCTGGCCAGTAGTTTTTTCTTTTCGATTTGATAAGAAAACAGGCAAACACGGACACCCCGTAACCTTAAGCGTATCTCTCTGCTTCACAGCTACAGGATGTGGTTTGGCGACATAAAATATCGGACAACTGCAGTCGTCCCCACATCTCCTTTGGATGCGTTAAGCTTTAGCTGCTGGTGCTTTGGCTCAGTTGCGAATCGAGTTCACTTGGGACGCTTGGTTTCATCGCCACTGACACGGAGCAGTAGCTAACAATCGCTAACCTAACGCAGTTTGATTTCTTTACAGTGTGTCCCACGGAATTTGTATTTTAAAAACTGTCTTGGCTCACCCACCTAACCTAGCATGCAGCAGAATGTGTGTACATTTCTAGGCTTGTGATTTAAACGATTAAAACTAGGGCTAACACATCGTTTCACATTAAACAGGATACTGATGCATCTTACCTAAATTTCCTACTAGCTAGCCTGTAAAAACACTGAGCTGTCGGACTGTGAAATCTCATCCTTTAGAAGTTAAGGTTGAAGGCAGAACAATAATATGCGCATGACATACAGCATGTCTTGTGCATTACAATGTACATGTGTCTTGTACATTATTAATAATTATAATATTAGATATTTGACCATGGATGGATACCTGAACATGCCTATTGGGCAGAGGCCCAAGGGTCCATTATGGATTCAGGGGCCCCCAGGAGCAGGGCCTCTGTCTGAAGTGTGTGTTAGCATTCAAGTCAATCATATAACTTGAAAAACAACTATAAAGTGACACAAAATACCGCAAAGAAATGAAAAACTACAACAACAACAACAACCATGTGAGATGTAAAATGAATACAAAGAATCAAAACAACTACAAAAAAAACACAAAATACTGCTAAGACACAAAATGGTGACAGAAAAGTGCAGAATGACCAAACAAAGATGCAAAATTACCACAAAGACTCAACTACAAATGGCTGCAAAACAGCCAGAATCTAAAAAATACTATAAAGATAGGCCAAACAAGCCTACCAGGAATAGAGAAAATGGTAATTTGGAGTTTCTTTCAGTCTGGGGCTCTTAGGAGGGGTGAGGGCCTTTTATATGTCGGTGCTCAGGGGCCCAGTGTCCATGCATTTGACCTCACATATATGTAATTTGTTCATATATACAGTATACTTTCTAATTTCTCATCATATACAGCACTTAACAAAAACAGTGACCATGATGCTGCTGTCTAACCAACCAAAATATTACACCTCACTGCTTGTGTGTGACATTTAGTCAAACCAAAAAAAGAAATAAAACACCACTGTGGAGAGTGACTAAATATAACACTTAGTTTCTTAAACATGTTACTATTACATGTTAAATGTTCCAGCTGATACTGCACATCAACAGCTGCAAAGTCCTTTGCCATAGCAGGCAAGTTAAAATTGTTTTCTGTACATCTTGTGCACCAGCCAGTTGTCATCATTTTAATGCAAGGACATTAGTCCTGTTCGGAACGATGACTATAAAATGGAAAGTCAATGGAGATGATCTTCATATCTACACTGTCTGCTGGTGTACACATCCCCATGTGTACATATCCCCCTTGACTAAAGTTGTACGGGGTGAGTGCGTTTGTCACTGATTGATGCTCGTTTTACAGTAAGACTCATCAATCAAGATCAGAATTTCTCAAAATGCCCCTATTTTTGCTGCTGTAGGGCCTGAAATCGGTGATTACAATTCTATTCTTCAAAATGACATGGTCCTCTAGAAAACAAGTCACACAATTTTTATACCAAAGAGTTTCTTGTTCTCACCTCTGTCATAAATTTGTCTGCCTTCAGCATTGTTTTTCCATTTTTAGCCATTTTGACTGCAGCTCGCCTGCTTCCTTAGGTGCTAGCGAAGGAAGGGCCGCAAGGCTGCGTTGGAAAATGTGGGGATGACAGCTGCAACTGTTTATCATATGGGTACAATAGCACACCTTGAGAGGCAGTCGGAGCTTGCATTCTCGCTGATCCTGGCTCCAACACATCAGGCCAGAATTAACAGACAAAAGTGTGGGCAGGGTCAAAATTAACGATGTGCAAGATCAATTCCACAGACTCTGAATTTAACTGACATACAGTATGTACATGTGATACTAGAGAGCAAACACAATTATTTACTGGTGTCCAATATCAATTTTGGAAATTTAAATACATTTTTAAAATAAAAAATGCATAACTAATGATTAATCAGACCATTACCTTATTTTATCAATTTATTATTGAATCTGGCCTATAAAATGTCAAAAAATAGTGAAATGTGGTCACCACACTGGACAAAAGTGTAATGTGATGTCTTTAAATAGCTTCTTTTGTCTGCCAAAACCAAAAAGATATTTTATTTACAACAATATAAAGCAGAGAAAAGTAGCTATTTCTCAAATTTGAGATGAATGTTTGACATGTCAGCTTGATAAATATTTATAGGATAAATCATTCATAAAAATGGTTGCTTTTCCCTCTTAGTTAACCCATTAATTATTTTATCAAACATTTAAGCTCTAAATCCATGTTCATAATTTGGAAAACAAAACTTAAACAGTAGCCTCTATGTTAGATGAATTTAGTGATATATACAGTGGACCTACTAATCTGTTTCTGAGGTGTGTGCCGGTGTGTTACCTTCACCAGCTGTCAATCAAACCAGCCAGGATGTTAAAGGGACCTTGTGGAGTTTATGACCTCTAGTCGTGCCATGGAGCTGTTTTTTATGTGCGGGTCCCCTCTGCAATCCGTATTCCTGCCAGTGGTTTCATACTATTACATTAATCTACAGGTGGCAGTAATGCTCAAATGCAGCAAAACGCCAAAAAAGGGCAGGAATGAAGAGGATTGCTAGCAAGTAAACATGGATATAAATGATACAGGACTTTAAATACTTTAAAAGTCAGCTTTGCTAATTAATGGAGAAGGGAATGCATTCAGCATGTTTGTTAAACTTCAGGGATTTAAACAATGTTTTTTCAAGTTTGTAAACATATTGTTTGTTATAACAAAACTTCACAAGACGTCTTTAATTGTCCCACTTGCCAGGTCACATGACATGTGTGTCCTTGTGTTCCTGCACTAACAAAACATGATCTCCTTGTTAAAAATAACTCTCAAGTGTGTGACTAGTGGTTGGAAACTTCACAAAGTACCCCAGTACCTCATTCAGACTAATGCAGTGATGTGAGCGACATCTGCACCAGGGGTCTAATTCTTTATGGGTCACCCTGCGTCCACTGGTCCTCCTTTGTGATCCAGGGTTGGACGCAGGTGAGAGGCTGCTCAGTGTTGGTGAAATGGCATTGCAAAGTGCAGAAATGAATTCAGTGATACCAACGTTTTAACAGAATGTGACACACCATAAAACTATACATGGGGCGAGAAAGAAACAGAAAGCGTGCATGTGTTACCAATCACCAGAGACAGACATATGGACAGACTGAGGGGTGAAACTTAAGTGTCATCTGATAATTAGATAGGTTAATTATGTGCTTTATGGGTGAAGTATAGATTTCTAAGGTAAACCACCTTAAAATATAGGATTTCAGAATTATAGGATTTTTGTTACCTTTATTTATTCAGAGTATATGTCCACTAAGAGTCCACCTCTGCCTTATAGTGATGCCCTGGCCACATTCACGCAGTTATACATTCACACCTAGAAGCTGTATGGCCACAGACTGACCTGTGGGCACTGAGGAGCTCCACTGGTTGGGGTTAAGGGCCTCTCTCAAGGGCACCACATTGGTGTTAATGAGGCTGAGGCTCCCACCCAGATTTAATCCTGCAACTTTCTGGTCACAAGCTCTCTTCTCTACCCTTTAGGTCACCACTGCCCCACCAGTTTCCAGCCATCAAATCTATGTTGGAATTCATCATGACTTTTTGGAATAATCTGAGCATCAAAGATGATAATCTGTCACACACTACAAATTAAGGTATGCCCATTGTCAGTGACCTGCCTCATCTGGTGCAGACCAGAGTCACTGTGACTAAATTAGTGTTACACTGGCCAACACATTGCCATCTCTGTCAGTGACATCTAGTCACCTTCTGACTGGTCAGAAACATGTCATTTGAAAAGCTCAGATGATGTCCCAGAAATTCAATCCACATACCTCACTGTCAACAGTTCTCCTAGGGTCTGTCTCTAGAAAGTTCAGCATAGTTTCAATGAAATTTGCTCACCGGAAGGTCTGTGGATTATTCATAGCGAACAAGTACTGCTTCTGGAAAAACATGATACCTTCAAGCTTTTCATAATAAATTGCCATAATTGAAATTCACCTTATTGTATTGTAAAATCTCAGAGGCAGAAATCTCAAAGCTAGAGCACATGAAATCAAAACTGTCTACATGGCTACATACCATTAGTGGTAGATATAGAGTATAAAAGTATACAGTATATGTCTTAATGTATTTCAGGTTAAATGACAGTACAGGTGACTGTGATGGTGTCTGGGAAATGAGCACCTTGTGCAGGCCAACCTGCAGAATCCAAACTTCCACTTTTCACAATGGGTGATGGCTTAAACGCCACTTTAATGAAAGCAATGTCTATTTATTGCAGAGGAAGCTATCCTAAATAATGTAGTGTAATGTTCTGTTGCCTCTAGTGTGCTGGGTGCCTCTGACACATTACTTTGTCAGAACTTTTAGGGAACAGCTTAAGGCACAACCTTAACAGTGTAGATGAGCTTCAAATGGCTAGTGAGTATGTGCACAAGTGAGTTCAAGCAATTGCCTGCTTCCTTCTTGATGCATTCTCATGTCTTGGCCTAGGAGGTTTCTATCCTGGCAAATCTGGGACTTTAACTCCCTAACAGCTGCCCTGATTTGTTCACTGACTTAAGCCTTTTCTACAAGCCTCTAATAAGTTGCCAGGATGTCCCGACCTTGAGCATCCAGGCCAGGTGTCTCTGTAAGAGGCCTTTGTCTGATTACAGCAAAAGAATCAAAGACTGAAAGAAAAGAAAACCAGATGCCCCCCAGCTTTATGTGCATCTGTGTCACTGATAATTAGACCTGTTTGCAAACTAATGTTTCGTCCAACTTCAATATTTGTACTTGTGGAACATCTAGTTTGCCTCATTCACTTTTGCTGTTGTCAAGAGATAATGGTTTTTGATCTCGGTGAGCTTCCTTCTAATGTCTTTACCATCTATGATTTATAGAAATATAAAAATACAATATAAATTGGTGGCATTTAAGAAGCTAAATTGCAGCTAATAAAGACACCATGTGTTGTTGATTGGCACATGTAGACATTGTGAATGTGATTCATGTTAGATGGTTATAAACATAGACTGATTGTGAGACGACTGTCCCCTGGGCACAAACATCTGAAAGGCCCCCTCCATGTACGTAACAACAGACACCCACCCTGCTTGTCCTCATTTTTAGTGTTTTTTAGCAACATTTTACCAGTTACCCTTAACTCTCAAATGCTGCCGTTTGTTTGAAAACTGCACCTGAACTTGAGCAATTTATCCACACAGGAAATGAAAAGAGGCTAACTCCTGTCCAAAACTTCCTGTTACAGCACAATGACAGATAACTGCCTCCAAAAATACAAAATATTTTGGACCAAACCCAATAAGGGAAACCTGGGGTGCAGGTTAGAGTTCCCTATAGCAGAGTTAACATGGTGTCAGCCACAGTCTGGTCAACTGCTTGACCAGTTACAGTGTAGCTTACTAACCTATGTCTGTAGTGTGGTGCTGTGTTTGTTGTGTTATGTAGCAATAAATAAAGTTGTTTAAGTTTGGCTTTAGTAAACCAGTGGATGCACCTGCCAATTGTTTGACAGTTTGATTTTGAACACTAATAGTATCATTTTTTTTTTTTTTTTTTTTTTACATGGAAGGCTACAATAGAAATTAAATCATTTAAATACCACGCAGGAGTGAGTGATTGTCTAAGTGGCAAGCGCTTTTCAAACTGTGGTGTTTAAAAAGTTTGCAAATTCCTATTTTCAGTGTGAAAGCGAGCCATACTGATAAAAAGCAATGCGTGGAGTGTGTGTAGCTGAAATTGCATATCCTCATCACCAGTATTTATTTTACACCTTTTTTAATATCCTTCAAGTCGTTGTTAGAAGCGAGTAGGGACTATCTACACTGCCCCCCCCCCACCCCCAGAGCACTGGCCTGTTATTCACCTGTAGGGCTTTACCCGGCGCTAGGACCCAGGGTGCGCGATTTTCATCTCCAGCTGCTGCAGACCGAACACTGGCAATAAGGGAAGAATGCGCGGACAAGCATCACATTCTGTATTCATTCTACTTCAAAATCACATCCCTGGCCCCGCACGGACGCCTCTGTGTACACAACAGTAGCTTGTTGCGCTGTGTGCAGGCTTTGTGGGAGTAGTCAGCTCGGAGCGCAAAGGTAAGGCGGCGCAATACCATGCGATTACTAATAACAAAGGCGTTACGGGCGAGCAGGGGGCATTAAAGGGGGCACTGCACAATGCTATTCAGGGCGAGTAAAACTCTGCCAAACTTTGACCTGGATATCTCTATTTTCCAGTTGTCGTTGTCTTGCAGGAGCTACAGTAGTTGATGGTGTCTGGCTGTTATCTCACGGCATTATAGGACCGTGTCACATGTAGGCTATGGAGACCAAGTTGTGTATCGAGATGACATGGGTCTGCTGTGGATGCAGTCGCCTCTCCAAACGCTGACTCCAACTATATAAGAAGTGATGCATTTCAATTGCAGACACGTATTTAACGTCATCTGAATGGCGCATCGGACCTTACATTAACCCGGCAAATGAGAACATCACCCTTGACTGTGATCGACTGCCATCCTCCCGTCGTTTGTTGTAGAATAATTCCTCACTTCTACCAAGATGGATGAATAATGCGCTTGATTTTTGATCCACGTTCGCCCCCCGTCGCCTTCCCAGCCTCGACATTCAATACTGACCAGGTGAACCACGAACTTACACGGGACATCCTCTCTGCCGTAAACCATGGCGGCCTAAATAGGGTCGATAATCTCCAATATGACTCGCAGATGGATGACCATGTAGCTATGCCCACTTTGAAGACGACATACTTAAAAAATAAAACAGGCCTTCGAAACCAACAACGTGCCTTCATCGGCGCTATATCGCAGTTATCGTAGTGCATGTGTGGAATACCACATCCCTGCTCGACAGATTTGTAATCGCATTTATAACAAGTTTTTAAACCCCACAGCTTCAGACACCCGACGTGGAGCCTGTGAACCAAACTCGTCTATAATTGGTGAAGCCAAAGCAGCCGGTCACTACCGGGATAGCTCTTGCGCGGTCGCTGAGGTCTCCGGGTTACCCCGGCTCAGACACAATGCGATGGGTCAGCTGCCGACTTTGTGATAGTCCTCCTTTATTCCTACACGGTTCTCTCCGGCGTTCCCCTTAATACTGATCGGTGTTTTCGGTTTCCTAATTTCACATTTGGCCATCTGTCAACGATTTGGCTGCTTGCACGCAGCCATTAGCTACTGAGCGAATGGCGAAGGGCATGTTAGAGGCTCTCTCACACACCGATCCACTCCGCGATAGGGAAGCGGCCAAATAGTTTCTGCTCGTACTGCTCTCGTCGGATGCACAGGGTCGTTGTCCTGCACCGCTTTAGTGGCCGGGAACGAGCCGGATCGTGCGTGCTAGTAAACAAACTCTTTGAGCCAGCCTCGCTGTGTGTGCACGGTTATTTCCTCATCACCACAAGTGTTGAGAAAAGTAGGAAATTTGTTGGCCTAAAGGAGTGGATACCCTTGTAAACAGCAGGCCTGCACTGCTTTCAGCATTCAGGTAAGACAAGTGGCCTAATTACAGCAGGGTAACCTGTGCTGCTTAACTACCGTGCCAAAATGTGATTATGGAAAAGGAGAGCTACATACCCTGTGGTTGTTTATCTCTAGGGGAGAATCTGGGGAGACTAGGTGCAAATCCTCTGCTCCACAGAGCGATTTGATGCTTTACTCTGGTTGCCTGTTTATGACTGGAAGTTGCAGATGTGCTGTCATTCACCTCTTATCTCTACAAATGAGCTGTTGGTCCACACCTATTCTTAACAGCTCCGTTGTCATTGTTTTTCAGCACTTTGGTTAAAGTCAGAGTTACAGAAAAGCTGAACTCGTGTTTGGTTGTGTACTTGTTCAAAAGACAAATATAGAGAAAGTTGGAAGCAGATTTTCTTCTATTACAAATAAGATAATGATGTAAATATGATATTACCTTCAGGAGAGGTTACTTGCATATCATGTTACCTCACTAAGGTAGCCCGTCTTCTTCTCTGTTAAACTCAGTGCAGTTTCTCTGAGATGTATGGATTATTGTCAGTAGCCTATATGTTGTATGTCTGGCCTTTATGAACTGACCCAGCTTGTCTTGATTAGCTGGCACAGAACTAAGGGTTAAAACTGAAGTTAATACTCTTTATCCAAATTGTATGACTGATTCCAGTTAAAACCTGACCTGACCTGATAACAGGAAATGTGATTTTGACACACACTGCTTGCAGAATGGGAGGCACACACACACACACACTTACTGTTCACATTCATCTGTGATGATCTGTGTTCATACCGACAAAATATCTTCACTCTGTCAAAACCCTGGTTTGGTCAATTGACTGAAATTAATGACAAATCATATGGTCCAGTGAGGCTCAGTACAGTTGGGATGTACAGTATCAGGAAAAATATTTAGAAAGCAGATGGGTGACAAATTAAAGGAACATAAAGTGACCAACAGACTTTTTAGTGAAGTGTCTCCAGAGCAGCTTATGCTCCTCTGTTGGAGGGAAGAAACATCATTCTTCCAAAACACGTTGATTAACACTATATCATACTCATTAAGCCAGTCAGTAACCTAGAGCTGCAACCATTAGTCAGTTCATTGATAGAAAATAAACCAGTAACTATTCTTAAGCAAACATCATAACAGGAACTGATGCTTTTTTTTGTCATATATGATAATAAACTGAATGTCTTTGGTTTTGTTGGTGGGACAAAACAAGACATTTGAAGACCACCTCCGACTCTAGAAAGTCAAAATGGGCTTTTTTCCCCTTAAAAAAAGAATAATTGGTACATGAATTAGTGACCCCAGCATCATTTTCCACTCATTTATTCCAGATTTTTATTTAATTTATCACCCATCTACATCCGAGGGACTAAAGTTGTCATGCCACAGCTTTTTATTTTCACTGGAGGATAGTAAATATCTGGGGCCAGTATATTGAAGACCTAGTAATCCTGGCTTTAACTCTTTTGGAAACAGTTTTAGGCCTACAGCTCCTTTTATATCAACCAAAGTGAATACAGTGAAAACAAACAACCTGCTGTCACCTTGTAAGCAAAATTATTTACGGGACATTAATTTATTTCTTTGTTTTCAGGGCTTTCTATATCACAGAGTTGATGGAGGTCAGTGCTGGGGGCCCTGCATTTGAAGCTAAACCTTGTTAGGCTTCAGTGAAGTTAGAACCAGGTCACCAAGACAAATGACAAAAACTTCATAGGAGGTAACATCTCACGTGGCTCTAGGTTTTGAAGACCTACACAAAAACCATCAGAAAATGCTTCTCCAAGCTACTCCATCCGTCTGCAGCCTGCAGCATACAACTGCATACAACTGGACAGTCTCCAACACCTCGAGTCTTGCTTCCTTGTGTGCAACGGACCCAAACCTCTCCCACTTTTTTACATTTCGTCAACACCGTTTAGCGACCGTCACCCACTGCCGTGACTCTGTTAATTGACCTGAGCGACACTGGAAAGCAAAGACGGATTCAGTGACACTCAGAGACGCTCTTGGTTACAAAAATATAGTTTATTACTTCGATACCCCGATAAGCCTTTTCAGTTTAGCGCACCGTTACACTCTTGGTCGCGATCCCTCATTCCCCTTGAGCGGCTGGAGCTCGCGTTGCATGCCGGTACCTGCAGTCCCCACCCCTCCCAGGCTCTCCAGCGTCTAATCCTGGGCGTGGATAACCGAGCACTACATCTCCCATGCTGTCGCCGTGCACCCTTCTGCCCCTCTCTCTCCCACCAGACTGGAGGCTGGAGATTCGGAACGGACTGTCTTGACGACCCCCCCAAACTCTCCCCTCCTCCTCCTGCCTCCCTCCCGCCCCCCCGGACTTTTAGAACTGAAAACCGTCGAGATTAGTGAACAGCCACGGACGGCAGAGGCGAAAGGCTGGACACCGCCGTAAGCGAGCCGTGCGGGGGAGTCTTAAAGGGGGGGAAGAGAGGAGAAGCTTGGTAGGTCGGGGGGCTCGGTGAATACCTTCCAGCGCCGAAGTGGCTCAGTCAGTCCACTAAAGGGCCATTACGAGAGACGGGATCACTAAACATTCGGTCGGCCGGAATAAATAGCCGAACACTAGCCTTGCTTCAACATGTAAACCACCAGGAGCAGAGCGAGGGCTTCGCGGAGACTCCGCTGCGCAGAGCTGAAAACCAGTCCGAGCTGCTGGTGGTCAATGGAGTTAAATATATTGTTCGCCCCCTTGTTGTGGCCACTCCAGCAGCACAGGCTTGTAATAAGTTATGTCCCCCACCCCTCGTTTAGTCGTCCAGCTGCCTACTTCTTTCCTATCTGAGAGTAACTCCGTGTAGCCAGTTTCTGTGCTATCAGCGGGCGAAACTGATCATTTGCCCGTATCCACGTCCACCGGCAGACTAAATGTTAGGCTACTTTGTCGGGTGCTCGAGGGTTGATGGACCTGGACGATGGTCGTCAGGAGTTTTGTTTGTTTGGCTCTCGGTGTTGTGTGTGTGGTGGCTCTGCATTGATGTTGACTTACCTTATCAGGCGGAGATGTGACACATTGCCACATTGTGCTCGTACGACACAGCCCAGATAGCCACTCGATGTGGGGGGGGGGACATTTCTCACTTGCTATAATGTCTGTTTCACCTAGAAACGTGGTATCCCATCTTGTGCACGGTGCTGAGACGACGCTGAAGTCAGGCTGCCTGTGCTGGGCAGTGAATGGACCGATCACCTGAGAGTCAGTTGCCATTCTCTCATTATGGTGACTGCTCGCCATCTCCAGCGAGGGGGAGAGGGAGAGAGAGAGAGACAGAGAGAGAGAGACCCGGAGCTCCCCGGAGTTTCATATTTATAACGGGGAGAAACGTGATGTTTGTGAGTGCCCCGGTGCCTTTGAACACATCGTGCGCTTTTCAGATGTGACATTGGGACGTGTGTCTTTTGTGCCGTGGGCTGGACAGTGAGCTGACCGGCAGCACAATCATTTTGTCTCCGAGGCTGTTTTTCCTCAAAGCTGTCAGGCTCGACTTTGTTTCCTCCGAACGGTGTTGCCCGCTGCATACTACATTTATTAGGCTACATCAGAGCGGATGGATCCAGATGTTGCGATGGAGCAGACCGCGTATGATCGGAGCACAAAGACAAACTAGCTGTAAGCAACTGTTGTACGGTAATGAATGCAGACCCTCCTTGCACTGAGCGGTATCTGCATCGCTGTATCCCCTTCAGTCCATGCTCGCAGATTCCAGCAGAGATTGGTGTGTCAGTCATTATGTGCATCATCTTTATCTTTCACCGACTCCAGGGTGGAACATTTTCAATCCCCCCCCTCCCCAAAGCTCTGACATCGATATTTTTTCTTGGCTTGGTCTCTTTTGTAGTCGTCTGATTTACTTGCAGATGCGCTCACCTCTACCTACATACCAAGGGCTGTAGCTATATGAGAGTATTTCAGATGACATCAAGCTATGAGATGGATTGTTTGGTTATTATTAGTAGTAATTATGTGCATACTTGGCATTGTTTTGTGGAGGAAGGTGGCTGTTCTGTTGTGAAAATATATCTGGGTGAGTTTTCAATAGAGAAGTAATGGATGGAGTTTCATGTCTAATTTTAGATGGTTGTTAACACTACATGACCCACACATAAAAAGTGTACTTTAACTGAGGTGGGCCACCTCCACGTTTCACTATATTGTGCATAATCAATACACTGAGGCTGCCACTGGCTGATAGAAGATCATTTGAGCAGTCACAGCTGATTGTGTTGTGGATGGATTACTGAAGCAGCCTACCCAGGACAGGCCAGGTGGCCCAGGGGCTCACAGGCCCCCTAAGCAAGACCCCCTGTGTGAAGTGATTGTTGTAAGAATTTCTTGTTGTTAAACCAGTGGGCTCAGTTAAAGCTAGCGCCGTCCCAGTTATGTTTTTGTTATCCTGACCCTTTAATAGTGAGAATCTGCTGATTTGGAGTCTTATCCAATGTTAATTTATTATTTTTGTTTTCATTTCTCATTATAACGGCCCTCTGCATATGTAGGCTGCAGTATGTCAGCATTAAAGTTAGTAAAGCAATTTAAAATGCTTTTCTTGCACTTGTATGTTTGACCTTCTTTGAACAGTTTGATGTATGTGGGGATTTCTAAACCGTAAGAGACAGCTTGAAACCAATTTTAAAAAAATATTTTCCTATAATATGTTGTATTGTAAGTTGTAGTATTTTGTAGATATCTGCGGAGAGTAGGGTCAAGGTGAATTTGTTGTGGCAGAAATGTTTAAAGATTTGATTTGATTTGATTTGATTTATTCTTTCAAGCATGTAAAGACAGTTGATATGACAACACACATGATTGTACACATAATCCAATATCAAATTGCTTATACCTAGTACATGCTTGAATGGAGTAGGAAGAAGTCAGACTTATCCAGTCCTACCCCATGACATCATCTTACCATCACTGGTTTGCAAGCAGTAAATGATGATTTAGGCTGCCTCTCTTCAGCTGTGTGAACAAAATATTTCCAACCAACAACAGTATTTTAGAGTTACAATTAATGTGTAAAGTATCACAAAACATAAAAAATGGCAGCTAACAGTGAATGGGGGTGACCTGCTCTTTTAGGAACGGTGACCTTCTATGTGTGTCTGCCAGAGGCCCCTTAGCTCATAATTCCTCCCTGCTGCAAATGAGGTCTCATTTCACCCGCTGAATATCCTGTTTTTAGTAAACTCTTCACATTCTGAGTTATTGAGCTCTGACAAATTGTTAGTATTCCCTGTGTGCCAACAAATAAAACCAAAGGGAACAACAGAACAAATATGTTCATCAGTCTACCACACTTCTCTCTGCTAAGCTGAATTATCTCCCCGCTCTGAGGAAATTGTAGCCTAACATATCTGGCCTCCCATATCAAAGAAAGGCAGTTTTTAATTAGCCAGTGTTGGTTACTCTGAATCAATTACTGATGCATAGAATAGGTCTCATTCCTTCATCAAGGATTAAATGAGTCTTCTGTAATTGAAACACTAGCAGTAATCACATTAAATCTTCTTTTTTTGTATTTGGCAGCATATCACTGTATTTCAAGGAAAACTCTCACCTGACTGACTCAGCTACCCCCTGAGGTATGTTGTGTTGAAGAAACACCTATGCAGGTAATTGTTTTGTTTTGGGTTTTTTTTTTTTGTTACAGTTAGATCACAAGAATATACATTCTTTCCTTTTGTCTAATTAACATTGGCCTCATGAACTTCTCTTATTACTCAGGTGGATCCTACACTAATGAATGTAGGGGATGGAGGCACGGTGAGCAGAGAGATCAGTGCTCCAAAAAAAGCGTCTACTAGTATGGTGGGAAATCCCCCCCAGACGCTGCCCCCTGAGTTTCGAGGAGATGTTACCCTCAGTCAGCAAAACAAGACTACTCCAACAACAGACTGTAAGACAGCGAAAGCCTGCCTGGACACTAGTAATTACAACCACAGCCCTGAGCTTTCTCCACCTCAGCAGCCCAACAATGCACCGATGTCAAGCTCAGCCCTCACCGGCTCAGAGAAGAAAGCAGACAAAGGGGCAGAGACCGCTAAACTCAAGGTCGACGGTGTTGGGGTCTTCCCCGCTACTCAGTGGTCAGGTGGCGTGAAAGTCAGCCGGGAGGGCTCACTCAACCCCTGTCACAGCAGTGTGACATCCAGCAAGAAATTACACCTGCAAACCCAAGCTGTGCAAAGTGTTCCACCTGGGTTTCAGTGCTCTACCATGTTTAAACCACCCCAGCCTGTTGCCTTCCTTCCTTCTACAAATTTTTCCTCCCCACTTTGTAAAATCACTCTTCCACCAGCACTGGGTCAGATTGCAGCTTTGAGAGAAGCTACAGCCAGTCAGTTTCAGAAAGAAATTCAGCCTCAAAGCTCAGGGGTTGGAGGAACACCTCTCATGCGTACCTATCCCTATCCGTTCTCTATGGGCCGGGCACCAGCTGGAGAGAAAAAGCCAGGCACATCGACCTCAAAACTTAAATCTAACCTTTCATCGAGTAAGAATTCCAAATATGTAGGAGAGCATAAATCTTTAGCCTCAGTGGTAGCCTCACCAGCTATCACCCTACCGTTGCAGCACCCATCATTAACTTCTGCAGCACCCACCCATTACACGTTATCTCCCACTGCTGCCATTTGTTGTGGCCCTGCGCTGGCCAGCATCACCTCTCAGAGCAGACTGCTAAACCATGTGGAGAAAGGCAACAGCATAGACAAGACAACCATGGGCTCTCTTAAAACAACCTCGTCCTCTGCTTCAGAGGAACACACCGCTTGCCTAATTGAACCAAGAGATGTCCCTCTTGATTTGTCTGCTAAATCCAAACGTCCAAAATGCATAAATGACCCCCCAGTGTCTGTGATGGAGCCACATAATAACGAGTCAAATCAGAGAGATTTTCTGAACTCAAAGAGGACTCATTCTACAACTTATAACTCATCTGTGCAATACCCTATTTTACTAAATACCCACAGGAATGGATCTCATCAAAAGCATATAAATAAGCCTCAGAATCACCAGGTTCCAGAGCCCAAACCAACCTGGGGTAAGGGATCTTCACAAGACTCCATAAAAAACATTCCTGGAACCTATGTAGGTGTGGCTAGCCCCATACTGGCTTCAACTCTGCGGGGCAAAGATGGAAAAGGGACTTTTGCTGATGAATTTCAAAGTTTTGCAAAGCAGGAGTTTATATCTATAATTGACCAAGGGGAACATCTGGCCTCAGGAGGAAAGAAGCCATCCTCTCTGATGAAGGGCAACCAACATGCTTACAGTGTCAAGCATGTTAAAAACACCAGCACAGCCATAGCTACGAATTGTCCCTCTAAAGGAGCCCCGACAACTGCCCTGTCAAGCTCTGCCAGCACTCAGATTCATCAGAAATCTGCACCTGGCAAAACAGCGGTGCCATACTCTACCACTGTTGTCAGTCCGGTTTGGCAACAGCCTCCTCACGTTCCTCATCAAGCCTCGTCTGTTCAGAGAAAGGTCACACAAGGATCTCCGAAGACCAAGGGCAGCAGAGTTACAGAAGGATCTAAGTACATGAGTGCTCATCATAGCCCTTCCAAACATGAGGATGATAAGTGGGAGAGATTAAAGTCTCCCTTGTCTAACCTTGCATCCATTGTAAAGCAGCAGACTCTTGAAACCACAGCACTGGCAGCTGAGGGTAATACTCAAGCCTCACCTGTCACATCAAGAAAATCTGATGTTTTGAATCCGCTCGCCGGGAGCCGTGACACCCAATCCAAACATTCTTCTGCTTATGAGTACCCACCATACTGGTCGGTGGAAAAATGGCCTGGTGTGCTATCTCAAGGGGATCCAACTCAAGCTATGAAAAGACTTGAGAAGGTGTACACCGCTGAGCCTCTGGAGAATAACACTGAGCTACACACCAGTCATGTAGAACACATGGGACTACAAGTGAAGCAAGGCTCTTCAAAACCTGCTAGCCAGTCTTATCTCTTTGGGAGCAATGCATCAGCAAATGGGAATAGGATGGAGAGCAAACTAGCCCAGGTGTTAGAGGGGGAGCTACTGAAGAAAGAAAGTGGGGCGTCAGACAGTCCTCCCAGTGAAACACTGGAGGGCACGGTGGCATCTATTCTTACAAGCCAGTGTGCGGGAGGAGGTGACAAGTTTGAAAAGAAAACGAACCGAGCCAAAGAGGAGTCACCAACCAAAGCAAAAGCTGCTACCACCAAGCAAAAGAAAACTAGTCCTAAGGAGCCAGCAAAGGAGAAGCCACCAACAGAGCCACTGAAGAAGGCTGCAGGAAAGAAAAAACAAGACGCAGAAAACAGTCCAGCCAAAGTGTCTTGCCAGAAGAAGGTAAGTTATTTTGTGTATGGAGTTTTAATGTTCAAAAGGTCTTTGCACTTTTCTTGTTTTTTTCCCTTTCACTAACTTCAGGGAAATGATTAAGGTGTCATTCATCTTTAAAAATTCTAAAGTTTTGATAGTTGAATAGGACATACAGAGCCTCCTTTCATAAGATTAATCTTTGACTGATGATTACGCTTCAAAGGTTTCATTGTGGGTCTGTTGCGTGCTCTTCATCACCATGAAAGCTTTGTGATCAATAGCATCCGATACACTCTATCCCCTGTGCATTTCAGCACAAGAAATGTGCACCTGTGCTGGAGCAGAGTCTATCTGCCCCTGGGCTGGAGCAGAGTCTATCGGCGGGAAAACTTTCCCCGCCGAGTAACGAGCCAATTGCAAAGGACAAGATCAGCTCCAACAACGCTGAGCAACCAACCCCCAACAAACCAGGTATAGTCTTTGTGTTTTTTTATAATCAATCCTCTGACTTTTACTACCATTCAAAGTTCTTGTAGCGTACTCAGTTATCTGTCATAATTTGGATGATGCTTTCAGTCGTGTACAGACCGTTGTCTAACTTGTAGTCAGATGACTCTGGGCAACTCATAGCTTTAGTTCTGGGGGTAAATAGCCTGCATTAAGCCTGAGTAATATGGTAGGCTGTGTATATAAAACAGAAAAAATGTTTCACATTGTGTGTGGAAGGCATTGTTTTATGTCTCAGTGACACTTCTAAGCATAGAAGCGGGTGTGTATGTGTAACAATCCAATGTGATTTAATCAGTTACAGATAACGGCAGCAGTCCTCAGCGTGTAGAGAGGCCAGTCTCTCTCAATAGCTCTGCTACATCCAGTAAGGACACCGACACTATAGAGAGCTCCTTCCCAAGACTTAGGAGAGGACGACGGCGAGCTGATGAGGCTCGACTTGACCTCTGGGGCTTTGCAACGCCTTCCCCTCCACCACCACCAATGCCTCCTCCCCCAATATCCCCGACACCTCCTATGACTCCCACTCAACTCGCTCGCCGTCCAAGAGGGAGGCCTCGCTCAAACCCCCTGCCGGAGCGGGTATACCAGGGCAAGGGCAAGACAGTCAGCTCAGGGGGTGACACACCTGCACATAAGAAACGCCGGCGATGTCGTAGCAAAAAGTATCAGAGTGGCGAATACATCACAGAGAAAGAAAAGCTGGAAGATGCAGAGCGCCTGGAAGAATTGGACTCACTGAGGCAGGACGGTGGAACTCCAGCAGGTACGCAGGTTCTTTCCATAGGTCAGCAAAGTTTTCAGTTAACTGTTTTCAGCCCAAGTGTGAATCAGAAGTGCAGCTGTTATTTACAGGTATGGCAAAAACTGTTTGAGAAGTTAAAGAATGAATCTTTCAAATCTGAGTGAAGCAGCTTAGTATTCTATACAATCAGAAAATTTCAATTACACTTGGAGCTATTAATTAGTTTGTTAACAAAAAATTAACTGCCCCTTATTTTGATAATTGATTAATTGTATAATACATTTGTTAAATGCACTTCACTAAATTTCTTTTCAGCTGCTATAGGGTATGTTGGGACTCAAAACAAACTAACACTGGAAACCACTTGTTATCGCTCTTTGCCCCATCAGTCCTGTTTTGCTGTGACGTGAACTACCAATGCCTGGTTGTGATAAACTGTACAAAACGCACTCTCTAGTTGAAAGCTAGCGTTAGCTGACAAATGAGTCCCAGCTCTACAGCAGCACAATGTCAAGTGACTAAGTTGACAGTTGAGTGATTTAAAATGCATAGTTTTGACATGTGGCTAACGTTGTTTGTAGAACACACTTTGTTAGGTCTGTTCTGATGAGGAGATGGACAGCTAAACTTACAGCTTTTAGGTTGCATCATGATAAGGATGGGTATGTCAAACCACACCTAATACTTGAAACAGAAATTAGCTGATGAAAGATTGGGTACATTTATGTATAGATACGTGTTTGTGTTATGTTAATTTTTTTAAATGGTGAAGGCTCATGATGAGTAATGCAATTTCCATAAATGTGGATTGATGCATTTTACCTCTAACTCTGGATAAAAAATATTAAGATTGTTTGTGGACTTTTCAGTTTGTTCATCTGTTTGATATAACCCAGTATAATCTCCAATCCAGTTTGTCATCACAGATCCACAGGTAGATCAGTGCCCAAGTCCCACTGCCCCCAGTCCAGAGCCTCCTTCACGGAGACCCTCGTTTACTCGCTCCGGAGCGGTGCGCTATCAGGAGAGCGAGGTGTCTTCGGAGCGCAATGACAAGCCTTCAGGGAAGAGAAAGTTCAAAAGCAAGCACTTATGTGACAGTGATGAACAGAAGGTAAGTCACTTGCTGATGCTGCTTGTTTGGTTACAGTTCATTCGGAGTCATATAGGGTTGATAGGAGCAAGGTACCATGAATATATTAGCTTACAGTGCCCCCCTGTGGCTAAATACATACCATGTTCCTAACAGTGATGACGGCAGCTGCTTTTATGCAGCGCATGTCTTTGATAAGTGAAACCTGTTGCCATAACTTGGCATTGCATTACAAGAGATTCCATTTTTCACACAGCACTCTAATCAATAAACCTGTATTTTAGAGTAAGGCCAAACGCAGCAGCTTGGGCAAGCGTGGCGCCTCACTTGCCCTGGATGATGATGGTGCTGTTACAAAAAGAACAGGTAGCCCCCCACCCACTCCAAAATGTTTGCCATCACCTCCATCCAGTAAGAAAGGCTCACCTGGAAGAAGCAGTAAGGCAGAGTCACGACACAAAAGACCTGTTCCTCCAGAGGTACGACGGCTGATTGTCAATAAAAATGCTGGGGAGACCTTGCTGCAGCGTGCTGCCCGCTTAGGCTATCAGGTAAGACCCCACCTGTTTAGTCACGCACAATTGCTGACATGATTTTAACTGCAGTAAACCTCTGAGATCTGTTAATGTGACTGTCTATGTGTCCCACCGATGCTCTGTAGGATGTCGTTCAGTACTGTCTTGAAAAGGACATCAGGGAGGTGAATCGGCGCGATAACGCTGGCTACACAGCTCTCCATGAGGCGTCCTCTCGAGGCTGGACTCAGATTGTCCAGATGCTGCTGAAACACGGTGCAGATGTCAACTGTAGTGCCCAGGATGGAACACGGTAAGATTTTATGGTACATCATAAACGAGTCGTGGTTAGTTGGGTACAAATAAATGAAATACATTTCTCAGTACTGAGTGTAACTTTGATTTGTTTATAGAAACAATACGCCCTGAACAGATAGTGATATACTCACTGAGCAGTCATGTTTTATGATTAAGTGAAGATTATCAAATCAAATCAAATCAAATTTTATTTGTATAGCGCCAAATCACAACAAAAGTCATCTCAGGACACTTTACAAAGTAAGGTCTAGACCTTACTGTTATCAATATTATTACATAGGGAAAACCCAACAAATCCCCCTTAAGCAAGCACTTGGCGACAGTGGGGAGGAAAAACTCCCTTTAACGGAAGAAACCTCCGACAGACCCCGGCTCTTGGTGGGCGGCCTTCTGCCTCGACCGGTTGGGGTGAGTGGATAGAGGAGAGACAAAAGAAGAAAAGCAACAAGACACAACAATCAAACACTGATCAGGTCGATGTGGCCGGTGACTGCTCGTCAGAGACATAGAGCTCCAGGGCCAGGGCAACCTGCAGAAAGGTACAGGGAGAGAGAGAGAGGACACACTACGGGAGAAAGGAGACACAAAGTTAGTAATGTGTAATGGAGGCATATAGAAGCATAGGGAGAGAGAGGAGAGGAGAGCAGAGCAGAGCAGGAGGGGAGGGGAAAGAAACTCAGAGCAGCATGGGGCCCCCCAGCAGCCTAGGCCTAGAGCAGCATAACTAAGGGAAGGCTCAGGGTCACCTGATCCAGCCCTAACTATAAGCTTTATCAAAAAGGAACATCTTAAGTCCAATCTTAAAAGTAGAGAGGGTGTCTGCCTCCTGAACTGAGACTGGGGGTTGGTTCCATAGGAGAGGAGCTTGATAGCTAAAGGCTCTGCCTCCCATTCTGCTTCTAATTCCATGAAATATCTCAACACAATTACAAAAGGTCAAACTGATTCAGACTGAAAATCACAAAATTGTGTTGTCTGAGAAAATGTGATAATACAGTTTTTTTTAATCAAACAATACGGATAAAGATTTTGTGTAAGTTGTGTAATAGTGGATACTGTAACTGTAATACTAAACAAGTAAAAATGTATAAAGTGTTGTATATTACAGTGGATACTGCTGAACAGAAGGCCAGAGCACCAAAAAAATCCCTTCAGGTTTGATTTTTGGAAAATGAAATCCCCTGCAAAGCTCCCACTGCACA